GCGACGGAGCCCGAGCCCTCCGCGGTCGTATCGCCGTAGTCGAAGCGCGAGTCCAAAACGCAACACAGCAGAAGAGAGCGACGCGGCGCGCGACTACCGGTACGGTTCGCGAGTCGCCATCGCTTCAATCGTACTGTTGTGGATAGAGAGCGTATTCTACAAGGCGATGGCGACAGCAAGACGACGGACGTGGACGAAGCCACGGCCGACGCCGACGACGGCATGACGGAGGAAGAGAAAATGATGGCGCTCATGGGCTTTGGTGGCTTCCACACGACCAAGGGCCAGCAAGTCGACGACAACGTTGTGGGCCCTGCGTCTGGCGCGGTGCGCAAGACCAGCAAGCGCGAGTACCGTCAGTTTATGAACAAGCGTGGCGGCATTCCTCGCGGCCCGCCGCCACCGCCCTCCATGTAGTCGGTCCTCGTGCTCCACTCCATCCTCGATCCAAACACACAACGTGCGATTACACGTTCTTATGTCTTTCCTCACAAGGCCTCGCGGATGAGGCGGTTGTAGTAGTGGCAATGCACTGCGTCGTTGTGGCGCACCAGCTTGGCGGCGGCCTGCACCATCGCCGTCACGTGCGGCGAGAGCACGCCCAGCGTCGCATGCAGCTCCATCTCGTTCGTCGTGAGAAACGAAGCGAGCGCCTTGGTCACGCGCTGGAAGAAAAGCTTGTAGACCGCATTGGCAGGGTCCAGCGTGTGCTCGGCGCGGCGCTCAAACGCCGTCGTGTCGAGCGAGTAGCCTTTGGCGCAGAGGACGCGCGCCGCCTCGGCCGACGCGTGCACGGCCAAGTCGGGCAGCCGCGTCTCGCTGGCGTGCGCGAGGATGCGAATCTGGTCGCAAAAGGCCGTCGCGTCGCTTGGCGCATGGGCCACGTGGTGCGGCGCCAGCGCGCCGTGGATGAGCGTCAGGAGGCACGCTTGCATCGTCAGCACGTCCATCTGGTTGCGCAAATCCAACACGCGATCGTGGTCCATCTCCAGCGTCTCGGGCCACGTCTCGTCGGCCGCCATGCCGCTGGTCACCAAGCCGACAAAGGCCTCGGTCACGAGCGACCGGTACGCGCGGCGGTCGCCATTCGTCAGCGCCGCGCGGACAGCCGGTGACGCGCGCGACACGTGCCGCGCCAGCCACTGCGACGTGGCCGCGAGCGTGATTGCGCCGTGCTCGAGCTTGAGCGCAAACTTCTTTTGCTCGTGCTCGACGCCGTGGCGGGCCACGTACGGTGCGAGCACCTTGAGGTGCGCGTTCATAGAGTCGATTTGGATCTCGTCCACCTTGGCAAAGCCAAACTGCAAAAACCGAACGAGCGCCTCGACCCACGCCGCCTCGGACGCGGGCGTCTCCTGCAACCGGTCCAGCCACGCTTGGGTCGAGCTTGTGCGGGCGGGCGCTTCGCCGTGCAAGATCGCACGTAGCATCTGCTGCAGCACGGTCGCCCACTCGGTCCAGGACGACGACGAGGCTGCGAGCGCTTCGAGGTGCGTGGTTGGAAGCGCCGTCGCCAGCGCCTTGTGCTTGAGCACCGTCGTGAGCTGGTCCCGCAGGTCCACAAACGATCCGACGATCCGTGCGCGATCGCGGGTCGCCGCGAGCTGGTCCCAGAACGCCTGCCGCATGGTTTGCGCGACCGACGCGTGCAAGGTCAGCGGCGCATCGTCCAGCGACGGAATCTGGTAGTTGGGGTTCAGAATGAGCTCGTGCGCGAGCCGGTCGTTGGCAAAGACCTCCTTGGTAAAGCCAAGGTCCGGCTTGGAGAGCGGCTTGCGGATCGGGCTCGACGGTGGCGTCGCCTTGGCCTCCGTTGCCGGCGGCGCCTTGGGTGCCATCTGCTGGGCGACGCTAGCTTCGACCTTGGCGAGCTTGGAAGCCGCGACCGTCGGGCCAAACGACTGCTCCATAGACGCGCGCAGCTGCGCCATTTGGCGACCCGACTTGTTCTGGACGTCGGTCGACCCCGTGCGCATGGCCGCAACGTGCACGGCGTACACTTCCGCGTAGATCGTGAGCATGTCTGCGTCGAGCTGCGCGGCGTCGTTGGCCTTCCACGAGTTGAAGAGCGCTTGGTAGCTAAGACAGTACGCTTCCCAGCGCTTCCACGCCGCTGCAAACGCCACGAGCGAGCGGACTTTGAGCGTCTCGCGCAACGCAGCGAGCTCGTCCGTCAGACGAGACGCCGCGCAGGCCAGCGGTGCGCTGTACTGGCTGTCGGCCATCGTGTCGGTCGGGTGGTGCGCAAACATGCCAGCCATGAGGAGGACGCGGTACGACATCGGGACCGGACTCAGCGCTTTCGTCAACGCGTGCGCGGCTGCCGCCGTCTTGCGGTTCTGGACAAGCTCCATGCTCTTCTCAAACGACGCGTCGCTGATTTGCGTCCAGGTTGAAACCACCGACTGCATCGCAGGAACGAGGGGCATCGCGACCGAAAACGCTTGGCGCACGTGCTTCCAGGACCGGAACCACGTCTGCAGCTGCGTCGCGGCCTGGCTCTGGCGGGCTTGGACGCGCTCGCGCTTGTGCTGCTCGATGCGCAGCGCGTGGCGCGACAGCTTCGAGACGTACGCAGTCGTGAGTTGCGTGCGCCGGTGATGCGCCGCATGCAAGGACGCGTCGTAGAGCTGGCGCTTCTCAATCATGCGGTCGGCTTGCTGTTGCAGGGTCGACATGATGTGCTCGTTGCGCTGCTGGCAGTTTTGCGCCGTCTGGTTGAGGCGCTCGAGGCGCCGCTGCTCCGCCGCCTCCAAGCGTGACTGGATACGCAGCAGCTGGTCGTCGGCGCGGGCCTGGGCTTCCAAGTGCACGGCGCGGGCAACCGAGATGGCCTTGGACACATGGCTCTGCGCCGTTTGGCGTCGGTGGCTGAGCTGCTGGCGGCGCTTTCGGCGGGCCTCCGAGATGCGGTCCCACATGGCTTGGAGCTTCTCCGAGGCGTCGGTCACGCCGCTACCGTCCGCGCAGCGCTGTTCGAGGCGTAGTTGGCAAGACGACTTCATCGCAAATGCGAAACTGGGTCCAAAGCACCCGTTCTCTCGAATGTTCTCCCATATGGCCAATCGGAGATGACCAAAATCATTCCGGCGCTTTGATTGGCCAAACCGAATCAAGTTGAAGTGGGACGTAGAGATTGGCCACGACGTGGCAAGCGCAGGATTTCACGAGCTTTCCTCACACAGCCATGTTGCACTTGCGCTGCATGCGACTGCGCGTACATCGTTGTCGCTGAAGAGGACGAGTTAATGGTGTTCAAGCTTGAAGAAGGACAACGACTGGGGCGCCCGATGTTGGTTGTGCGTGCGATGGTTCGATGTTGGTGCATGCTACTACGTACTTGATTGCAGAGATATGCAACGAGCGAGCTTGCCTCCCAGTATCTGGTGTGTGTGCGATTATTCGATGGGAGAGTGACCGGAGACCAATCATCTGATTGAATTTCGCTCCATGCAAGTGCTGGTAGGCTAAACGACAGCGGTCGATCGAGGCTGAAATTGTGGAACGTGCTCGGACTGACTGTGAAATCGAGTTCAGGCGTGGTGACTCACCAGCGCCAATAGTGTGCTTCAAGCACGATGAGGGCCGATTGGGAAAGGTGGAAGCTTGTGTGCGCAAGGGACGCTTTTCGCCAAAAATCCACTTGGTTTCTTGAATCTCTTAACGGTTTCATGAGACGCTGACACCGTCGCCAGCAAGATTTCTTCTTCCGGCTTGGTACCGCTTTGGTTTCATTTCGGGTTGTCAGCGGGCTCAACCACCCTGCCTCTCTGCATCCACGTAGTACATGGCGAAACGAAGTACACTGCCATACACAAGCGTCAACGAGAAGGTTGCTGCGAGTGCAAGTCTCAGTAGCCAACGAAACACTCTGTCAAGTCCATCAACCAGGTTGTGGGTTGAAATCACATTAGCAGCGACCAACTCAAAACCGATACGTTGTACGCTTGAAAGCGTGGCAGCGAAGCACTTGGTCGTTGGGGGTGAACTGCGTACCGAGAGATCCATTTCGTGGTAGATGCCCCTCGCTGAGACCACGCACCTCGTTCTACCAGCCGATAGAGTGGTCACTGCACAGCTTTCACACATGCTCGCAATCGACTCGATGCCGTCGCAGGAGAGAGCACTCTCGCTTGATAGCTTATCCCATTGATTGTTACCATCAAGAATCAAGGCATCGCGTTGGTAGCATACCGAGCTTCATTCGTTAATTCAAGCCGGCGGACGCGAATGTTGGTCGTACCTGTCAAAACGCATATTACCTGGCGAGAATTCATTAGCCTGCCACTATGCCCATACAAAACGCAAGCTTTCAGCCCTTCCACGCCCGTTGGGTCCTGTGAAATTGCATCTTTCCATTCTCCAATTCGATGTCCGAGTACGCATACAGCAGCGAGGACGAGTACGACTACAACTCGGACGGCGACGACCTCGCGCAGGTCCCGGCCGCGCCCAGCGCCGAGTACACGGTCGTCAACACGGCCGACCTCCAGCGCGACCAGGACCTCCTCGTGGCCGAGGTCTCGGAGCTCCTCATGGTCTCGCCGGCGGTCGCGACCGTGCTCCTCCGCTCGAACCAATGGAGCAAGGAGGTGGTCCAGGACCGCTTCTACGAGCACGAGACGCCCAAGCGCTTCCTCGAGGAGGTCGGCGCCCAGCACCTCGACAAATACAAGATTGGCGCGCCGAAAGGCATCGTGTGCGAAGTCTGCCGCGACGACGTGCCGGGCCAGAACGTCATTGCGCTCGGCTGCGGCGCCATGTACTGCATTGACTGCTGGAAAGGCTACTTGATGACCAAGCTCGAAGACGGGCCGTCGTGCCTCACGGCCACCTGCCTCGCGTACAAGTGCAACGAACTCGTGCCGGACGCGCTCTTCCAGAAGCTCCTCGACGCGCCCCGGAAGAAAGAGCACGCCAAGTGGGCGCTCCGGTCCTTTGTCGATAAGAGCCAGAACATCAAGTGGTGCCCCGCGCCGGGCTGCCCGAACGCGATCAGCGGGTCGGGCGGCGACCTCTTTGTCGACTGCGTCTGTGGCTGCAAGTTTTGTCTCCGCTGCGGCGAAGAAGCCCATCCCGTCGTGACGTGCGACCAGCTCCGGATCTGGAAGGAGAAGTGTGCGAACGAGTCGGAGACGGCCAACTGGATGCTCGTCAACACGAAGAAGTGTCCAAACACCAAGTGCTCGGTGCGCATCGAGAAGAACCAGGGCTGCAACCACATGTCGTGCAAGACGTGCCGCCACGAGTTTTGCTGGATCTGCATGGAGTCGTGGCAGTCGCACTTTTCGGGCGGCACGGCCAACTACAACTGCAACCGCTTCAACGCGACAGCGTCGCAGGACTCGGACTTGTCGCGCGCCAAGACGGAGCTCGAGCGCTACCTCTTTTACAGCACGCGGTACTTTAACCACGCGAAGGCCGAGACGATTTGCATCAAGGGCCGCGCGGACGCGGAGGCCAAGGTCGACGACCTCCAAGTAATGACGGTCGTCGACTTTCAGGCCGTGCTCAAGGCCATGGACCTTCTCATCAAGTGCCGGCGCATTCTCAAGTACACGTACGTGTACGGCTACTACCTCGACGGCAAGGCGACGACCGAGAAGCAGCTCTTTGAGTACCTCCAAGGCGAGGTCGAGTCCAACACGGAGGTGCTCACGGGCCTCACGGAGAAGCCGCTCGAATCGATGGTCATTGCCGATATTATGAACTACACCAGTGTCACGGACAAGTTCATGACGCGCTTTGTCGAAGGCGTCGAAGAAGGTCTCTGTGGGTGAAGTGCCACCCCGCTCTCTGTCTCCCTACACTTATTCTATCAAAACATTTAATCAACCACCCGTACGTTTGTCGCCGACTCTTGTGACCAACCGACCTGAAGGAGCTCAAGTCGGGAGATTGGTTGCCGTATTTGGGGCCGACCCAAGTGCCCTCACGCGCAGCCAGCGCACGTGGCGGGCGACCGATCCAGCCCACGGACAGGGGAAGGCAGATCGACGCATGATCGTGTCTCGTGTATGAGGGAATGGTGCATATTGCTATAACGTCTACATAAAGATAATGGAAAAGATGTCGTATTAAAGACAGACGACCGACGTAATGTCCTTCATCAGGTTCTCTTGCTGCGCTCTCCATGCGTCAATGCTCTCTTGGAGGAACGCGGCGTTGGCCTGGAGCGGTCGATGGAACGCAGCCATGTTGGTTTGGTACGTGGGCATCACGGGCGGGAACGGCATCCCCTCCGAGCGCTTTTGCTTGGGTGGCGCCTTGTTCGTCTTGTGTTGCTGCTGCTGCTTCTTGGCGACTTTGCCTTTTTGATTCTCGACGAGCTCGGCGATCTGCTGCTGCACACGCTGGCGAAAGATCTCTGCCAACACCGTCTTCGTGCTCGTCGGTGCAAAGCCAGATTGCGGCTGCATCGCGGGCGGCGTTGCCACGGCCATCGTCGGCGACATCTCTCTCGCCGCTGTTAGTGGTCGCATCGGAGGCGTCGACTGCGCCAGCGGTGAAAGGGGTATCGAGGGCTTCGCGTTCAACCGCTCAACTGCCATTGGCGTCTCCGCGACTGGTGGCGACGCGGGCGGTAACAACGCAGCTGGCGCAGCGGCGTCTTCTGTCACCGTAGTCGCGCGCAGTGTTTTGCGCTGCTTTGCCGGGGGCGACGGTGACCGCTCGGGCTGAGCGACCTCCGCCTTGGCTTCAGTTACCTTGCGCTTACGGGGGCGGCCGCGCGATGCTTCTTTCGGCACTTCGATTGTACTTGCTTCAGCATCTTCTTCGGACGCATCGCTGTCTTTCTCGTGCGCGATGTACTTGGGATTGATGCCAAAGAGGTGCGTCGCATTGAGATGGCTGCGCTTCATGCTCTTCTCGTCCTTCTTGGCACCGGCAACGCGCGCGCCGTGCGGTGCAATGGCGGATTGCACCGCCCACGTGTCGAAACGCTTGTGCCACCCAAGAAAATGCACCTTGACCTTTTGCGCGTCGACATCAACGTCAATGACGCGCGCTTCGCTCCAGCGGCCCTTGTCGTCCTACGTGCACAAACAATCGCACGGGCTCATTCCTGCTGTCGACGTACCCGCACGTCGGCGAGCATGCCCATGACCACGTATTTCGGCTCTCGCTCCTTGCTTGGCGCCTTGGCGTCGACCTTTTTGGCTCGTTTCGCTCGCACCGCGGGCTTGGCCGGCACGGTGGGCGGGCTCGTGTGTCGCTTCGGCCGCGCCGCCGCCGTCGCCGTTCGTCGCGTCATCCTACGTCGTTGTCGTACGCAAGCTCGCTCGCAAGGAACCAAGTACCTCGTCCCGTCGCTTGATGGCGATATCGTCGTCGGCTGCATCCTTGTGGCGTAGGATCGGAAACTGATTGCGACGCTTCAGGCCGCGATCGTCCGGATACCAGGATTTTTCTTCGAAGTCGACGGGATTCGATCGACGGCCAGGTTTTTTCGCAGAGTTCGCTTTAACGTCCGCGTGTGCTACAGCAAAAGCACTTGCGCTCGTAGCTGGATCGGCTCCTTCGGCTCCGCACCAACGTAGTACTGTCCGAGTCCCGAGGATCCTGCGCCGACGCTTGTTATCCGGACGAGATCGGACAGATTTTCGATGACCTTTCGATAGATCTTCCGTTCTTCGATGGATCTATGCTAACCCATGGCATGTACCTCGTGAGCACGCCACCATTGCGATAGCCTCGTCGCCTAGAGCAGCTCGCTAATACCCGCTCGTATTATAGCGTCGGACCCGATCGCTGCAATTGTGGCGCTGTCTGGGAGAGCTGTCTGGGAGCCAAAGGAGCCCACTTCAACTTGGCATCCGGATCCGGATATGGTATTTGTATCCGGCGTGGCTGTTCTTGAGCGTCCATTGTCAGCAGAGGCCGGTCGAGAAGACGCAATGCTGGACAAGCTCAAGTGGCAGAAGCAGCGGCTGCTCGACGGCGAGCCGGGCTACAATGCGACACCAGCGCAGCAAGACGAGGCCCTTTCCTGCCCGTCGCTCAATCTCTCGTACAAGGAGCGTCTCTTTGGCTGCCTCCTCTGTTTCCTGCTCGGCATGGTGCTCTCGCTAGGGTCGACGGTGCGCTTGGCGCAGCTCGTGCGAGGCCGGCCCGCGCCGTTCGCCATTTGCTACACGCTCGGCAACGTCCTCTCGCTGTGCTGCACCATGTTCTTTGTCGGGCCCGTCGCGCAATGCAAGTCTATGTTCCATGCCAAGCGGCGCGTCTCGGCCGCGACGTACGTGGTCTTTATCGGCGTCACGCTCGCGCTCTGCTTCTCACCCCATGTACCGCACCGCGCCGGCCTCGTCTTGATTTCGGTGCTCATCCAGTTCGGCGCGCTCTGGTGGTACACGCTCTCGTACATCCCGTACGCGCGCGCGGCCGTCGCCGGCGTCTTTAAAAAGTTTTGCTGTCAAGACGACCAAGTGTAAACACACCTGTAAATATAGCAAGACTCTACGTTGACGGCTGCAGTTATTAATACGGCGGTATGAGCAACACCCGGCGGTGCTTTAACCTCCTCCTGCGGCAAGTCGAGCCCGACGATGTCTTTTCCGAATTGCAGCGCGAGGACAGCGACGACACCCGCGTCGTCAAAGCGCGGTACGCGTCGTGACCGCGAGCGGAGGCTCGATGAGGTTAAGTAGGCGCTTCATCAAGGTGCTGGAGAGACTCTTGGGCCCTGACCACGACGTGTACATCAATTTCTTGTCCCTTGTTGCGCCACGTCACGACGATCAACTAGGGACGTGGCCGAGGTCGCCGACGCCTTCGCTGCCAAGCACGACGAGGCGTACGTCAATTACGTGACCTTTTGCACGCAGCTCCAAGCGACACTGGATGACGATCGAGATGAGGACGATGGAAAGAAGGCCGACTCGAGCAGCGCGTCCGAGCGCAATGCGACGACGTCCGAAGCGAGCTCGGCGCCGCGCCGCCACCGGCGCAAGCGCAAGTCCAAGCCCGACATCACCAAGCGTGCGATTCGCGTCGACCCGCGCCTTGAGAAGCACCGCGTGCTCAAGGTATATATGTCGTTCGATGTATCGCGGCGAGATTGGTTCGGTGACCCGTACTATCATAGAGCAGCATCCGCCACAAGGTGCTTCATGGCGCCAAGCACATGGCGACGTCCAAAGATGGATTCGATGGCCTTCGCGACGTGCTCTGCCAAGCCGACACGAACGGCACCGGCTTTCTTTCGGAAGCCATTTTTGTCGGTGCGGCATCCATCCTCCTAGCAGCAGCCCCATGATGATGTTCACGGTCGAGGTAGAGACGCTGCTGGAGCACATGCAGGCGCCATTGACCGCCAAGGAAATGGGCTACCTCACGACCAACCTCCGCCACCGCAAGCGGCCCGACGCCATCGACTACGAGCAGGTGCGGCGATATGAACGACGGTAGCTTCTCGTTGAGAGACGAGATAGATTGGGCTCTTTCTGTGCGTCGACAGTGAAGAGGAAGCGTCGACGTCCGGTGACGACAACGGCCGGCGTCGGCGGCAAAGCCTCGACGCGCCGCACTTGGGCTCGGACATCTTGTCGCTGGAGCGAGACCTCCGCGCACGTTTACTGCAGCGTCTGCCGCTCACCGCCGAGAACGCGCTGGCAAATTGCAGCCATACGCGGCGGTCGATCTTTACAGGCGCCGAAAAGTTTGTCGAGGCGTGTGAAGTCTTTGACCCGCTCTGCACAAATGCGCTCACGGAAGAGGGTACGCAGCACGTCTCGCACCTTGCGTGCAAGCGGCGCGTAGGGTATGCCAAGGCGCTCGACTACATCCACTTTACGGTCTCGACCTCGCAGCTCCAAGCGATTTTAACCAAGTTTCCCCGCGAACCGAGCTCGGGCGGCGTCAGCTACGTTGTGTTTCTAGAGTAAGACGTCCCGTGGCAAATGACTGTGCGCAACACGCGATCGTGTAGGCGCTACGGACAGCGGTACGCGACGGTCAAGCAGCAAACACACATGAAGACGCTCGTGACGCGCTTGGCCACGGACCCGAGCCGCGACCTTGGGCCGACGCTGTTGCATTTCAAGAAGCAGCTCGCCAAGTTCGACAAGCGCGTCACGGGCGTGTGCGCTGGCGTCGTCACCAAGACAGGTTGTCCACAGTGTCCGTCATGGCCTCAAGAAGAGTGGGTAGACTTTGCCTCGGCGCTCACCACCCACGAGACGTACCAGTGGCCCTCCAAGGAGGTGCAGATGCTCGCCCCGCTCTTTGCCGACGGTCCTCACATCCAGTACCCGCATTTTCTCACGTACTAGTACCTATATATCTATCGATACACTCGATATTGTCATGATCGAGCCGGCGATCAACACTGCTTCTATGTAGGATGGTGGAGGACTGCACAGCGATGATGCCGGGCGTGCCGTGCGACTGCCGCCAGAGCGCGCCATCGGCCACGAGCGCACTGGAGACCCGCCTTCGGCGCTTCCTTGTTGACAAGTCGCGCGGCACGTCGGGCTACGACACGGCGCTGCACGCGTTCGAGTCGGCCGACGCACTGCGGAATCCAAAGACGGCTCCGACCGGGCTCCTCCACGAACAAGGTAGCCCAAGTCGGCGGCGATTCAAACTCGAGACTGATGTAGATTTTTGCACGGTGCTGCGAACGATCGGCACGGGCTTGTCACCTGCGGACCGCGCCCATATCTTGCAGCTGCTATCGACGATCCACGCGCTCACGCCAAACGGTGTGCTCTACCGCACCTTTTTAACGTACATCCGTCTTTTGGAGAAATTCAAGAGTCATGGACGAGGCGTACTAGGCACCTCAAGACCGAGACGTCTTTCTCATCCGACGACGCGAGCAGCCGCAACGTGCCGTCGCATTTACGCAACATCTGCGTCGCGACGTACCTCAAAGAGTACGCGACGGCCGGCGAACGCAGCAACTTTGAAAAAGTCCTCGCGGCGCTCTCGTCGCTGCCTTCGCCCCGCAAAGGCGACGTCACCACGGACCAAAACAACCTTGTTTTTGCCCTCGGACCCCTTCTCAAGGTCAAGGTGCAATTCTTTACCTAGTAGTATACTACACTAGCAAGAAAATGCACGCGGTCGACTGGCGTCGTCGCTTTCGTCCACTTCGGTCTCGGACTGGCTCCGCGACCGGTCGTAGTCGGCTTCGTTCATGCGCCGAGAGATGACGGGGCTAAACAGCGTCGGTGTCGCCGTTCCGATCGAGAGTCGCGCCATCGCAGCGTCCTCTTCATTGATGTGGTCGTCGCCACATTCGCGCATGGCTTTGCGAGCCGCGCGGCGCCAATTGACCTTGTGGAGGGCGCGCACGATCAAAACAAACTTGGCGAGCTCGCCGCAGATGCTGCCGAGCCAGAGCCCCGAGAGACCGAGGCCGATCGAGAGGCCGAGGAAATAGGACATGGGGAACATGACGCCCCACGAGCCGGACGCGGTGATGCAGAGGAGCGTCTTGGCCATCGACATGGCCTCGAGGACGCTCGCGAGCACGATGTGGAGCCCCGAGAGCCCGACCGCAAGGCCGAAGAGGAGCATGTTGGACGCAATGAGGTCGGCGAGTGCGTCGTCGGGCGTGAAGAATGCAATGATCGGGCGCTGACACGCGTAAAAGAGGCCCGCCGATCCAAATGCAGCGACGCCGCCCAGCACAAACCTAGTACCATGTTTATCACATTGGCACGTGATGTAAATCCGATCGGATACCCGACACGCATGGTGTGCTGCGCTGCGCGCGGGCTGTTGGCGCCGAGAAAGTTGGCGACGCGGACTTGCGTCGGCAAGCCAAAGCCCCAGTAGATGCTGTAGACGAGGTTCCACAGCGTATACAAAACGCTGTTGGCCGCGAGGTTGAGCGGCCCGAGGTAGCCCGCGACAGCGGTCACGGCCGAGTAGATCCACTCGTCCATCGCGACGTTGAGTGTCATCGTGAACGAGAGCCACAGAAAGCGCTGGACGCGGTCTCGCCGAATGCACGCCCACGTCCACCCAAACCACGTTTCCGTGTGGTGTTTCCGGTAGACGCACGCGTATAAGAAGAGCGCGACGGGCTGGAAGACGTCAGCCACGAGCTGGGCGAGCGGCGACCCGATAAAGCCGAGATCCCAGTGGTAGATGAAGAGGTAGTTGGCGCCAATGCACAGCACGACGCTCACAGAGCTCACGACCGTGCCAGGCGTCACAATCTCTTGCGCTTGCAAGTACTGTCTAGAGATATCAGGATGACAATTGAAATCGGCTTCGTATCGAACAGAGTTACCGTAGCGCGCAGTTGAAGCACTGCGGCCAGACGCTCAGGATCGAGTAGCGCGAAAACTGCGTCGCGAGCGTGAGGACGCGCGGGTCGTCGCTGATGTAGCACAAAATGTAGTCGACGTGGTAGAACGATATGCACATGGGGATCGACAGCAGCGATAGGGACACGACGCCGAGCTGGAACCAGATACCCACCAGCTCATAGTTGCGCGCGCCGTACGCTTGGCCACAGAGCTAGACGCATTGGCTCGATGAGGAAGGAGGAGGATGGCACACATGGCACGCACCGTGCAGAGCGAGACCGAGAAGCCGTAGATGACGGTTTGGAGACCTGAGACCCAGATGTTGGCGAGCGCGCTTGCCGCCAGCTCGGTCGAGCCCAAGTGACCCAAGAAGGCGGCGGTGATCGCGGGCAAGAACGTGCGACAGAGCGTCGCGACGCTCACCTTCCACGCCATTTTCGAGATCGCGGCCGCTTCGGTTGCGTGCGTATTCACAAGGTGGCGCACCGAGCTATGGAGCGTGCCAGCCGGCGCGTCGAACGTCGCATAGTCCTCTCGCGGGCGGCTCAGAAGGCGCGCATGTACATTGATCGGCGACGGCGGCGAACTGTTGCTGCTGGTTGCCATGCTGCGCGTCTGGAACTGGGGCCATGGCGTGTATCTTGCGCGGATGGCCGCTCCGTTCAAGTACGTATCATTGGCACGTGCGCCGCTTCGAATTTATACACTTGATATTCGTATCGAAACTTCGATTCTAATTAAGTGCGCTTTTGCAATCCACCAATCAGAACGCTGTTTGGGTCCCTACCCCTCGCAACATCGCCCTCTCAAGCACCCGAGAACGCTGCCCACGAGCGCCTCGCAAGCATGCTCCAATCCACCAGTCGAGCGCTGGGATGTCGGCGCTGCCTTGCTGGTCCAAGGCGTCGATGCCGTCGACGCACAAGTGCAAGGGATTATCCGGATACGCCCGCCACGGGGTCGTTGTGCTTCAAGTCGATTCGAGCGTTGTGATTGGTTAACGGTATCCGGAAGATTCCGCGGCCCAAGCAGTCGACTCGCGTGCAGCGTCCCGTAGTCCACTGGCGTGCGCGGGTGGCGGAGATCCTCCATCAACTGCATCAAAACGCCGCAAGATCTTATTGATGCCCAAGTCGGGTCTTAGACCACGCGGCGGTTGCGCAGCGAGTCGCTACGCGGCTGCCCGCCTTCGTTCATCGTGCCGTTCATCGTGTTGCGCATGGCCGGCGGCATGACCGTGACCAGCTCGGCTAGTATTGTAAACATGTGAAAACCCTACCCCGGATGGCGAGGTCTCAAAAACGAACCTTGCTCGACGCCGCGGAACTGCAGCTGGAGGCGGCGGCCGCGGCCACGGGCGTAAATGACACCGATCGTTGCGAGGATCGCAATCGCCGCAATCACCAAGACGACCCAGAGCGTCGGGCCAAACGACGAGCTCAGGCTGTTGCCGCTGGTAGTGCTGCGCACGGTCGTGCACCGCGGCCCCCCCCAGACCTACAACGACATGATGAGGGTCCATGCATATCAATATATATAGCATACCGTGGGCGAGAGGCAGACACAGCGGCCATCGAGCTTGGTCTTGTCGCACGAGCCCGAGATGACTTGGACGCCACCGGTGGCGCTGAGCGGCAGCGTGCAGTCGTCGTTGGACGTGCAGGTCGCGCCGCCGTCGACCACGATGACAGGGTTGTTGATGTCCTCGTAGTTGGCCTGGTTCCTACGCAGAATTCGTTCGCGACGTTGAAAGGAAGCAACAAAAAGGATCGTACTGGGCAATGTACTCGGCCGTCGGGTGCGATCGCGGGTCGCAACCCACCGACATGCCCGTTGCGCTTTGCCACACGCGAATGTAGTCGACCTTGAGGTACAGTGGGAACGCGTCGCAGATCTTGTTGACCTTGGCGTCCTTGCCCGACCCGCGGCAGGGCTGGCCAGGGTTGGGCGGCGTCGTGCCCCAGCTCGTCGAGAGCGCCGTGTTGAAAATCATGTACATTGGCTCTTCAATCATCATCTTTTTCGGGTTGATCTTCGACTTGTCCGTGTTGGCCGGGTCCTGCGGCGGGTCCACGAGCGACGTCGACGAAATCTCAAAGATCGGGTTGCCTTCCACCATCCAGCGAACGTAGCCGGTATCCCCCATGACCCTATCGAAAAGTATCAACTTATCAACCCACACAGATTGGCCGCACGATACCACTCGAGCTGGTACTTGAGAAAGGACGTGTACGCCGTCAGCTGGATCGGCCAGTTGGCCGAAATCGCGTCGAGCTGGTAGTTGAACGAAGGAATCGCGTTGCCGTTCGAGTTGCCGCCCCAGAGCGGCTGCCCGCAGCGCGGGTCCGTGTTGTACGGGTCGCACAGATATGCACCATTGTAGCTACCCCGTACATGAGGAGCCATCTGATATGCGTAGACTATACCCGTTGATGACGGGCATGCACGTGCCGTCGTCGTTGATGCCCCAGTAGTGGGACCCCTTGTTGTCGATGAGACCGAGGTACCCGTTGACGTCGTTGGATGCGGGGCACGTGTCGACCGTGCACGTGTTTTCCGTGATCCCGGCCGTGAGCGACGCGTTAATGGTGGCGGCCACCTGCTTCTTGGCCGCGAGCGGCGTACAGAGGCGAGATGGCGCGTACTTGAGCCCTTGGTACCACGTGCGGTACCCGCGGGTCGTGGCCACCGAGGACGGCACGTCCGGGAGGTTGGCGCCCACTGTCTTGCACGTCTGCGTGTAGATGCATGCGCCGTTTTCGCCAGCGGGCGCCACGACGCGAAACTTGGATGGCATGCCCGGCGAGATCTGGATCGACGACGAGATTTCATTGCCGCCGCCTTCGAGGATATCAATTTCCGGCGCGCCGCGGCCTTGGTTCGGGTTGAGGCCAAAGCCCGGGTTCGAGTCGCAGGCCGAGATCGCTTGGTTCTTCTTCGAGTCCTCATCGCAGACGTTGTAGGACCACGGCCACATGCGCGTCGTCGACGCCGTGAAGAGCGCGCGGCCCAAGTTGCCCAAAAGCCACACGCCGGGCCACGTCGGGTAGTAGATGCCTATGCAGAGAGATGAGACGATAGAGCAAATCGGCGAGAGTCGTACCGCCCGTGACGCGGCCGTTGGGGTCCCTCAAGTCGGGGTTGCCAGAGGCGGCCGTGACGACGCCCGGCTGCTGGACGCTGACTTCGATGAATCCGCCTTGCATGCAAAACTTGTTCCAGGACTGGATCATGCCACTGCGGTACCACTAGTCACGCGTGCTGAGCAAGAGACGACAAGGCACGTGGTGGACCACGTAGTACCATTTGACTCTGCTGGAACCCCGGCGGGTTCTTGTACATGTTGTACACTGTAAACTTGATGTCGTCGTGCATCGTCTTGATCTGCATGTAGCCGCCGGTCGCGTCGAGCTGCGTGCTCGTCATGTTGACCGAGTAGTACTCGAGCGCTGCGTTCACGCCGTCGGCGAGTTCCATGGCCGTCCAGAGATGATCCTTGCCGGCGGAAAAGTCGCGTCCTGGGTGGTTGAACTCGTCGCTCATGACGAGGTCCCAAGATTCACCGCGCGACGTCTTGACCGTGTAGGCGCTCTTGGGCGTGTCGGCGTCGACCCACGTCCCGAGGCCGCTCTTGGCCGGGTACGTCGTGTCTGCGCCCATGGCGCCGGTGCTAAGGAGGGCGGCGAGCCCGATGGCTGCGAGCGGCGTCGTTGGCCTCATCGTCGTCCGCTTCGAGTGTGGCTGGCAATCGGACCAACGGCCTCAAAATCGAATTGGCCAATTTTTCATGAAAATCTTTTTTCGCAGAAATCGTCGGCAATAGGTTTCTCCAGATCTTATACCCTTGTTTAGAGGGAGTAGTCTTTCTGAGTATCTTGATGTATTAAGAGCATTGGAGTAATACCTTGCAAACACGATAGTACAGTGGGTTTGTAGGGAATATTTGACGGCAAAGCCAGACCAGCTCGCCACGCCTCTTCAAGGAACTCGCACGGCGCTAAGTCCATCACGCTATCCAAGAGGCTACGTGCAGCAGCGTGCATCGAACGCTTGCCGTGCCTAGCGTATTGCAGCGAGGGTTTACTGCGCCGGCCAGCTTTGACAGTCCGGCGATCGGTTCGTTGTCGCTTTCACAGCCGAGACCACTTGTTTCAAAGGAGTCACCCGCTTGAACGAGTTGAGATCCATCATGCTGGTCGACGTCGGCTTCTGGTGCAAGGACGAAGCGGACCCGCTCGACGGGCGGCCCCATCCGCGCACGCTCCAGGACGCTGCCTGGTTTTCCGAAAACGTCGGCCTTGCGGCGATCGTCGTCGACTACCTTCGGACGCAGGGCTGCGTCGAGTCGTACGAGATGGGCTACAGCTTTTGCCGGCTCGGCGACGCCTGCCCGCCCAAGAGTATGGGCGCGTGCACGATGACCGACGGCGTCTACTGCTGGCCAGAAGGCTATGCGCACTACTTGGACATACATTGCGTGCGCCCACCGCAGGAGCTTGTCGACCACATCCTCGCCCAGCCGCGGATGCCGAGGCCATCGCGCCTCTACCTCTGGGACCATGCGACCCTCGAACGTGTGCCAATGCCCCTCGCGATGCAATCCATGGTGCTTGCCAACACGACGCTGACGCTGCCAGAGTCATCGTCGTCGTCGTGTGTGGTCTCATAGAGCGACGTAATTCTTGGTCTTATTCTCCATCTTATGTGTCGTTTGTGCAAAAGTTTTGGTGCTGTCGCAGCGCGCGCTGTTCCTCAAATGTCTTTTCGCACGATGTACACGTCCACTTGGCTGCCGCAACCGGCTGCAGCGTCGACAGGTGCGCACTTAGCGCGGTCGCACTCGGAAACAACTCCATGCAAATTGGACACTGCGCCGACGGCTCTTCTTTCTCTTCGGTCGTCGGCGGCGCGTGGCCGTACCAATCGGGGCGAATGCGACTGTCCTTTCCGTGCTTGGCGAGCATGTGCTGCTGGAGCGCCTCGGCGTCCTGGAACTGCCGACCATTGCAGTGCGCGCAGCACACGTCGTCGTCGGCGTCCTTCCCGCGCTTGCGCTTCTTGATGCCAAGCTCGTGCACCATGCGCAAATGTGTCTTCAGACCCTGGGCGGTCGCAAAGCGCTTGCCGCCACATGCCGGATCGTCGCAGGCCATGCCGTTACTCTGTGGCAGCGCGCTCGGCACAGGCGAATGGGCAAGTGGCGCCGTGCCGTCGCGGCGCCGGCCAAAGCCAAAGATCGTGCTTTGCTGTTCGAGCTTCTCGCCGTGCAAGAGGATGCGATGAAAGCTCTTGTCGCTTTGGTGCCGCTTGCGCTGGTAGCCTCTCGGCTCGGTCCACAACTCGTGCTTGCAGCAGACAAGGTCGAGGGCGTCCGCGCGCTTGAGGATCTCCCAGCGCTTGGGCTGGTCGCGCGCCAACGTCACAAAAACCTACGTATGTACGTTCAACATGAGGCTTGTATCGAGGAGGGCGGTCGCTGCTACCTTGCCGCCGGGTCGGAGCACGCGCAGCGCCGCGTGGAAGAAATGCGAGAGCAGCCGCCGGTGCCGGTGAACGTCTTCAACGCCCGAGTGCGGATGGTTGAAGACAATGCGGTCAAAGTGGTCGGCCTCGTCGTTCTCGAAGGCCGCGAGGTTCGTCGCGTCGATGTCGTGCAGCACGGTCGCCGTCACGGCGGCGGAGCCGGCGCTTAGGGCCTCAATGTTGCTGCGCGCCATGGCATACTTGTCCTCGAGCGCCAAGAGCGAGTCAAAGGTCGACGCCGTGAGATCTATCGTGGGTGCGTCAATGCTCAGGTCGCGCCAGTTCTCTGGGTCGAGTAAGCAGCGCGAGTACGAGAGGTCGCCGTCGCCGACGGTCAAGACCCGGCAACCCATCAAGACCAACAAATGTGCAACCTCGCAAGTGCAATGTAAACACTGAGACTAGTGTGAACCTCGCGACCTACCTGGACGGTTGAGAGGACAGCAGCAAGAGGAGAATACGATTGCGATGCGAGTCTACCTCCAGTGCTCTCTCTTGTAGATGCCATAGCCCGCGCCCGCGTCGGCACGGACAAGAAGTCCGATGGTGTTTGCTGGACTGTTCTAGAAATAACACTATACATGATAACACTAAAACATCGTTAATGGCCTGTATCACAACCGAAATGCTGTCACGGCTCGTGCACCTGCAGCGACCTGCGCTGTCGGGGCGGGCGATCCTGCTTCGCCTCCCACCGCGCGCCGTCCATCACCGCGTCGTTGCCCGCCACCATGTCCAAGCCGATAGCAGCGTCGCCGGCCTCGGCTTTGTCGGCCTTGGCCTCGCGGTCACGGCCGCCACGACGTCGAAGATGAGCCTCGTCGACTTTCTCCAAGACAGCGTGTATCTCGTCGCTGGCAAGATGCGCCAAGCCGTACGTCCTCTTGATTGCATGGGCCATGACGTCGTCGTATGCTCTACCTACTAGTACGGCGACGAGAACCGGCGCATCCTCGTCCAGCTCATCGGTGCGAACGCGGTGGTCTTTGGCTTCTGGAACGTCTCGCACCGGAGCCCGCGCCTCGCGCGCTTCATGTGGCACCACTTTGCGTGCTCGTACAACGGCGTTGTGCACGAGCGGCGTCTGCACACGCTGCTCACGAGTGCGTTCAGCCACATCACGCTCACCCACTTTGGCATCAACATGTACATGCTCTGGCACTTTGGCTCGGCGATTCTGCCGCCAATGGACGACGCAAGCAGTGGCTACGTTGCGACGCTCACGAACGGCAAGTGGTTCGAGTCGGTCACGAGGCCGTTTGGCTACCACCCGCCGCGCACGCTCAACGCGACCGAGTTTGGTGCGCTGTACTTTTCCTCGGCGATTGCGTCGTCCGTGCTCAGCGCCGTTGTCTCGGGTGCCATGGGCTCGCCCCTTCGTACGTACAACAGCATCATCTTCTATATGGAGAGAGATGGCGTGTGTTACCACGTGCCTATGTTGTCTTAGTCTACTCGATCGGTGCCAGCGGAGCGGTCTTTGGGATCCTCACCTCGTACTGCATGCTGCGTCCCGACCAAGAGGTGCGACGACTGTGCTTCGTTCAATAGTGTGACGGCGTGTGCTGTAGCTCTACTTGTACGGCATGCTGCCCCTCACGGCGTCCGACTTGCTCACGGTCTCGGTCGGCGTCAACGCGGTCGGGTCGATCTTTCAGCACGCCAAGCAGGCGGTGATCGCGCCAGGAATCGACTTTGTGGGCCACCTCGGCGGCCAAGCCACGGCGTATGTGCTCACGCCCAAGTAAACAAACAAGCATGAGAACGCGTCGCCGAGCAAGGGGTGGTGATCTATTAAACTTGGTCGGACATCCTACTGCGCCTTACATGATGCACGCCTGCTTGAAGACCTTGACGGGCACGTTCTTGGTCATAAGGCGCAGGAACGAGACCTCCGTCGGCGTCAAGTCCTCTACACAACACACCTATGAGACAACGATGGAGGGAGAGGCGAGTGTAATACTCTTCCAAAAGTTGATGCTGCGGAGGTACGCGATGAGCTGGTCGAGCTCTTCGTGCGAGTACGGGTGCATGACCTTGCGCAGGCGTTTGCAGTCGACCTGGTGTGTAAACTTGAAGGCCGACGGAAAGTTCTTGGTCGTCGCCGCGACAAAGAGACCGTTCGCGAGCGACCGGTCCTCGCGGTGGCCCGTCTCGTCGACGTCGGCGAGCGCGTGGATGAACGAGATGTCGCGCGGCGCCACGTCGTGGCCTTCGTAGCCAAAGACCGTCTTCTCGAAGAGCGTGTTGTACTCGTCGATCGCGATGAGCACGGGGAACTTGGTCACCTTGGCGAGCTCGGCGCGGAGGTCGACGAGCGCGGCGCACGAGAGCAAGTCGTCCTTCAAGCCGTTCTCGGCCATGTCGAGCAGCGTCAGCGACGCCTTGTCATACTCGGACGTGCTCTTCGGCTTCTTCTCAAACGTGTGCGGGTAGTACTTGTCGCCATAGTCGGCCGAGAGCGGAAGCTCGGCGAGCTGGTGGCCATGGCTCTGGATGAGCTGCTTGAGCACGTCCATGGCCACGACGTCAATGTCGTACTTGCCCTGGATGTGCGCCGACTTGGTCACATACGGCGCCTCGTAGCACCACGCGCGGACGTGGGGCGCGAAGAGCACGATCCAGCCGTTCTCGCGGGCAAAGTTGACGATTTGGAGCAAGGCAACACTACAGGATGCTAAGCAAGTGCACCAAGTCGCTTGACGATAGGTACCTCTTGCCCGTGCCACGCTCGCCGTCAAGACAAAGGCCTTCTCGGGCCAGTGGGCCGGCCAGTTGTTGGGAAAGTCTAGTATCATCCATGGCGCGTGAGCCATGGCAACCAGGGGATACGCGCATCATCGTACCCTTCATGACCGAGAGGATGTCCAAGGTCGGCTTGCGGAGCATGAACTGCTTCTGGGGCTCCGTAAGCTCAAAATACTCCTTGATGCGCTTGGGCATGCTACACAGCGCGAACATGGAGTGCGTCCATCATGCCGCTGGACAATAGTCGTACCCTTCCGGAAAGTTGTTCTTGATCTGGGCGTCCGAGAGCTCAAAGAACTTGAGCAAGTCCTCCTTCTCGACCTATTTTGACAGCTGAGCAATGGCGACGACGGCGTCGCCGGGGCGTGCACCTGCGAGATGGGGTGGGCCGCCGAGATGGCCTTGACGCCGGCGGGCGCGGCCTCGGTCGCTTCCGCAGCCACGGGCGCCTCTGTCGAGAAGGCCGCCAAGCGCGAGGCCTGGACAAAGCGCAGGCGCGACGCGCGGGGAATCAATTTCGCTGCCGTCGAGAGCATGATGGACCAAGAGCTAAACTCGACCAACCAAACGCTCAACCCAACCCATCCGGACGCCATCCGGATACGTGTCAGGCATCCGGTATCCGGTTGTCATATTGGTGGCGTTCATTTAGTCACACACTATTCGAATTCGGGCCGTGCAGTGCATCACGGCGTGCTAGGGCTGCGATATCTGCAGATTTCGACGGCTACAAGATGCGACGCCACCACTGCATTGATCATCGACATATCAAGGTGCTATGAGCTGACACAATGCCAGGCCATGCCAGGCTGCTTTAAGTGAAAGCGAGCGAAGTCGGGATAACACTAAATAGAGTCGTACCTAGTCGAGTCATGTGTCGATATCGTACTTTGAGGTCTGCCCGTTGTCGCAGATCCATGGATCTTTGCCAGCACGCCACGAGGCTGTGCATGCCGCAGTACCTTACCGTGCAGAAACATGCAAGATGATTACAAGCTTAGGCTGCTGCGTGGAGGTGCACGGGCGTGGCCTTTGGTAGCGCTGGGCGGTCGCCACGGTCCTCGACCAAGTAGAACTGCGTCGCACCCGCGTCTTCGTAGATGCGCTGGACAAGCAGCGCATACCGAGTGTCGCCGCATGCCTTGGCCGTGAGGATGCGCACGCACGGGTCAAACTGCAGCGCGGGCGTGGCCATGATGGCATTGGAGGCGACGGACGCGGCCTTGTCGAGGTCGTCTGCGTCGGCTAGCGACATGAGACGCCAGCCCGAGCTGCAAGACACCAGCTTGATAGAGTGCCAAAGCGCGTCGTCGTGGGCGGCGCTGCGGCACACCGTGTCGAGCTTGAGCCCAAAGGGCATGAATGCAAGCGGCAGGAGCCCGTCGTCGCAGTGCAGACCCGCTGCGCAGGAGCCGGCCGTGCCACACCAGCCACCGCACGACTCGCCTTCCAAGCGATTCGTCGGTACGTTCGAGACGAGCTTAGGGTCGCATTCGTACGCGGCGACAATGGCCGCCGATAGCACACACGTGGCAGGACGCAAGCGCACCATTGTTCGAATGGGAGGAAAATCTCTGTTTGCAGCGAAACATAATATCGACTTTGAGGGTTTGTCGCATCGACACGAACAAACGATGCAGGCGATCGTGCGACGACTGCGCCGCCATGGCGGCCTCCGTCGCCTCTGCAGCCACGCGGCGCCGCCGAAGGACAGCGCCAAGTTCGATGCGCAGGCGCTCATCTCGCGCCACAAGGCGTCCTTTGTACGCAAAAGCCTCTTGGTTTCTTGTACTCATGAGTGCGACAGAACAAATGGGGCTACGTCACGATCGGGCTCGGCGGGCTCTGCCTCGTTGCGTTCGCACCCGAGCTCAAGAACAGCATGAGCAAGACGACGGCCGAGGTCGCGAGCGAGACGCTCCAGAACGAGATGCTCCAGATACAGACCCAGGTACTCCATCCTCTTGCCTCTCGTTCGCTGAAGCAGCTTGCACAGGAGCTCGCCTCGCAGATCGTCCAGACGGTGCTCAACGACCCCAAGGTGCTGCATCAAGCGTCGCAGTTTATCAAGAATGTATTACTACGCCGAAGCGAGAGGACGTGGTACTGATGCGTCCGGTAGCTCTCGGAGACGGAGACGACGCAGAAGGCGCTCGTGGTCTTGACAAGCAACGTCTTGAACAACCCGCAGACGATGGCGCAAGTCACTAAGCTCTCCAAGCAGCTCCTGCTCAACCTCATGCAGGTACAGACGTCGGTCCTCGTGAGGATCATCATCACGTGACTTAGGATCCCGGGACCATGCGTCAATTCGTCAACTTGATCAAGAACGCAATCGCCGATCCCGCGACGCGCGAGAGTGTCATCTCGCTCCTCGAAAAGCTCATGCAAGACGAGCCCACGAAAGAGCGCTTGACCAAGCTCGTGGCACATACGTTTGTGCAGGAGCCCGTCAAGCGCAGCGTGACGAGCACGATCACGTCTTCGCTGCACGGCGTCATGAGCAACCCAGACATCCAAGTACGACGTTTCGATGTGTACTATGTCCTACAACGGCTTGCGTTAGGACCACGCCAAGCAGTTTATCGGCGGCGTTGTCCGTGATGAGACGGTGCAGTCGCAGAGCGGCGACGCGCTCTGGAACACGATGACGTACGTCTTGACGCCGCGATGGGTCTCGTGGTTCTGGCACGGTGAGGACGGTCCGCCGCCATCGGGCGATGCGGCGCCACCGACGCGGGAGCCGCATTTCGCCAAGTCGTAAAAATGGCTCGGAATGGTCCTCCGCCAGCGCTTTTGCAGTCTTGAGCGCGCCAAAGAAACGAGCTCATAGCGTCCTCCGCTGCTGATTCTGATCACAAATGCATCCTACTGTTCGCGTGTGCTACTGCGTCGTGTCCCGAGTGAGTGGGCCCTCGACTATTACATGAGGTCGGCGCGAGGCACCCAGTTGAATCTCTGCATGATGAGCGCTCACTTGGGTGACCCAGCAAAGAGGAACCCAAAAGCTCGCCACCCAAACGCTCGGCGTTTGCTTCACATAGGTAGGGACGTGTTGACGAAAGTACACGTCGTACTGGAGGAAGCGTCTCATGGAAGAAGCGGTGCCAGTCCGTCAAGCATGGGAGCACCCAAGCGTATCCTCCTCCCAGTGCCATGGGAAGGTATAGAAAGGTGCCCTTCAATTTTCTATGTCTGAGTCGCGGCCATGTCGACGGTAAATACGCGGCCGAGAGGCGGTGTAATGCCGTCCGCATCCTCTTCACGGGCTGTCTCGGGTAGAGAGCCGCCGCCGACACCCAGTACAGTACAGTGCAGTGGTGCATGCACCCGCTGCAACTCGAAGACAAGATCGCCCATGCGACATGTCGCGGCGCGCGTCCATGAGAATCACCTAACGCAACTCGCCAAGAGCACGTCGACGAGTTCGCTTCATTGCCTCATTTGCAGCATGGCTGATAAGCTCGCGACACCGTTCGAGAAGCGCGATCCGTCCAGCACGGTCAACGAAGATGCGTACGTGGCGATTCGCCAGTCGCCCAAGGACGATGGCGGCCTCAGCGAGCCGCGTGCGAGCACGTCGTGGCGCGCGTCCCGCCGCAGCACATCGCGTGTCCGGCTCAGTCGTCTCGAGAGCATGATGCACGAAGAGCACGCCGCGGCCTTGATCCCGATGCCGATTCTCTATGTGACGATCGCGGTCGCGCTCATGGGTCGTTCCAATTCGGCTGGCTCCTCTCGCAGCTCAACTACCGTCCGTTCAACGTCGACTGCTTGAAAGTCCCGATCCCGGACCAGGCGTGCATCATGTTTCCCGGCCACTCGGGCAACGAGTGGACGATGGCGGTCACGGCGTGGATCGTCGGTGGTGCGATCGGCGCCATGACCAGCGGGTAGAGGTACGACAAGTTTGGTCGTCAGCGTACGCTCTTTTTGATTGCGATCACGATGATCATCGGTGGCGTCCTCGAGACGGTCTCGAGTGAGATCTACCTCTTCTCGTTTGGCCGCGTCGTCTCGGGGATTGCGTCTGGCGCCGCCATCAACGTCAGCAACGTGCTCATCTCGGAGATCTCGCCCACGCAGATGCGCGGTATGTTCTCGACCGGGCTTCAGGTCGGCGTCGCGTTCGGGTCGCTGGCCGTGACCACGGTCCACTACTTTGTCGGGTACGGCGAGGGCTGGCGCATCCTCGTGGGATTTCCGATCGTGCTGGGTATTGCGCAGATCCTCTTGATCCCGCTCACGACCAAGAGCCCCGTGTGGTTGGTGACCCACGGCCAGAACGATTTGGCGCTCAAGGAACTCAAGCGTCTGTATCGCCCGTGCAACACGGAGGCGATTCTGAACGCGATGATTGCGGCCCACGAAGAAGAAGTGAAGGAGACGGAAGGCGTCAACGCGTGGGCAGCGCTCTTCTCGAAAAAGTACCGCAAGCAGCTCATCATTGGCATGGTGCTCTGCTCGGCGCAGCAGCTCTGCGGTATCAACGCCGTCATGTACTACTCGTCGTCCATCTTCTTCAGCGCCGGCGTCACGGACCCGCGCGTCGGCAACACGATCGTCAACGTCGTGCGCACGACCATGATCTTGGTGGCCGCCCGCATCATGGACAAGTTCAAGCGCCGCACGCTCCTGCTCTTGTTCATGACGCTCATGGCGATCGCGTCCGTGGGCATCATCATCTCGCTTTTGGTGTCGAGTCCGATCCTCTCGGTGATCGCGACGGGTATGTACGTCGGCGCGTTCTGTCTCTCGATCGGCCCGATGGCGTGGATGGTCACGGGCGAAATCTTTCCCGACTTTTTACACGCCAACTCGGGCGCGATTGGCACCATGTGCACGTGGGTCGGCAACTTTCTCGTCGGCGTCTTTTACCCGACGATCTCCAAGGAAGACAGCCTCGGCAACTACGCGTTCTTCATCTTTGTCGCCTTCCTCGTCGCGTACGTCGTCTTCATCTACTTTGTCGTGCCCGAGACGGCGCAGAAAACGTTCGACGAGATCCAAAAGGAGTTTGATATCGAACCCGCGCACAAAAACGACGACGACGAAGAAGCACCCAAGCAGGACCCGTGGGCCTCGTAAGACGCACGCTAGAATATGTTATAAACACGGATCCACATAGTATACATCCCAAATCGTCTTCCTTGTGCGTAGAGTGGGGTAGGGTTGCAGTTCAGTTCAACACATTGATCAATGCCATTGTGACACGGACTCATGAATGTCCTGTACTAGTGTTCGACTACCATCTAATCTAAAATCCACTAGAATTTAGCAGCGCAGCTTAGAACTCCGCGACTTGATTTTCGAGCTCGTGACCTACAAGCTTGCGTCCATGATTCTTCAAAGTTTCTAACCAGCTAGCAGGGCTGGCTTGCCGTCGTCGTACTTGATCGTGTGCTGGTTCGTGCTCGGGTCAAAGCCGGTAATGAGCGCTCCAATATGCGCGGAGTGTTGAACTGAACTGCAACCCTACCCCACTCTACGCACAAGGAAGACGATTTGGGATGTATACTATGTGGATCCGTGTTTATAACATATTCTAGCGTGCGTCTTACGAGGCCCACGGGTCCTGCTTGGGTGCTTCTTCGTCGTCGTCGTTTTTGTGCGCGGGTTCGATATCAAACTCCTTTTGGATCTCGTCGAACGTTTTCTGCGCCGTCTCGGGCACGACAAAGTAGATGAAGACGACGTACGCGACGAGGAAGGCGACAAAGATGAAGAACGCGTAGTTGCCGAGGCTGTCTTCCTTGGAGATCGTCGGGTAAAAGACGCCGACGAGAAAGTTGCCGACCCACGTGCACATGGTGCCAATCGCGCCCGAGTTGGCGTGTAAAAAGTCGGGAAAG